GGTGTGCGGGGGGGGGGGTCACAGCGAGTTTGAGGCAAACACTAATCGCCCGAACCATGGGGCGTGGTCAGAGCTTTGCCACGGTGCCCCAACGCTGCCGGAACCCAAGCAGAGCTGCTGCGTTTGTCTTTGGAGAGCCTGGTTTCTGGTCCCATCCTGCCGCCTCCCGCACATCCTTGTTGCTCAGGGTTGGCCGGGGGGGGGCTACGGAAAGATCTGTGGAGCATTAAGTGCGCGCTCAACTCTGCTTCTGTCTCCCCTCAGGTCTCCCACGTTTGCTGGTGGCCTCTTCGCCATCTCCAAGTCCTACTTCGAACACATCGGTTCCTATGACGACCAAATGGAGATCTGGGGTGGGGAGAATGTGGAAATGTCCTTTAGGGTAAGAGCCAAGTAAAGGGGGAGAGGGGGAAACCTTTAGCTTTTAGCAGAATTAAAACTAGGGGGCCCACGTACCTTGCTTCCGTAGGCCCATCGTATTCCAAGAGTACCCCCCTGAAAACCACTTTCTCCCTGCTCTGCGTGAGCTTCATTTCCCCCCTTCCCCTTTTCTGATCTTCCCTCTGCGCAAAAAATCAATAAGATTCTGCCCACCAGTGCCTAGAAGGGTTGCTGGAATTCTGGACTTGATCCGATGTAGCACACTAAAGTTACCGCATTGCGGAAAGGTGCCGTTCTGATGAGTGTAGGGCCTCATCACGGTGGCCAAGGAAATCCTTAATTCTGGGCCTGAATTCCAGAAACGCCGGGGTGTCTCAGCTCCAGAGAGGACGGCCCAGCCCCTTTGCAAATGGAGCTTTTGTTGTCTGTGCCTGGGATTAGAAAGACAGAGCTCTGTTCGTAGGGCACCTCTCAGGACGGGCTCCGTGAATGGAGCGCCGAAGTTCTGCCGCCATACAAATAATTAAGGAAGCTCAAAGCGCGTTATGCCAGATCTCAGCCCCGTCCAGGTCTGTGCTTCGACTTATGTGGGGAAATGCTTTGTCCACGGAAACGTTCTTTCTTTCCCTTTCATTGTGTCAGGGTTTGTGTTACTAAAACTCCCTTCGGAATCCAGAGGTGATGGGCTCTTTCCCCTTGGTGTAGGTTTGGCAGTGTGGCGGTCAGCTAGAGATTATCCCCTGTTCCGTGGTTGGGCACGTGTTCCGCTCCAAAAGTCCCCACACCTTCCCAAAAGGAACGCAGGTCATCTCCCGGAACCAAGTGCGCCTGGCGGAGGTCTGGATGGACGACTATAAGGAAATCTTCTACAGGAGAAACCAGCAGGCTGCAAAGATGGCCAGAGAGGTACCGAACCGGGGTCCAGCAAATATTGCCTGAAATACTTGGAAGGAGAAAAATGATTCACTTGGGCCTCTAAGGATGGGACAAAAAGCAATGGGCTTAAATTGCAGCAAGGGAGGTTCAGTTGGACATTAGGAAAAACTTCCTGCCTGTCAGGGGGGTCAAACACTGGAATAAATTGCCCAGGGGGGTTGTAGAATCTCTATCCCTGGAGATATTTAAGAGCAGGATGGACAGACACCTGTCAGAGATGGTCTAGATCAGTGGTTCTCAACCGTGGGCCATATGGCTCCCCAGAGGCCACGTCCTACCTCTTGGGGGACCACAGGGAAAAGTGGAACATCAGGTAAATTATGTACCTTTTTTTCCAACTAACAGCGGCTACGAAGGGGGGCCACAGAGGTAAATGAGGCTCAGAAGGGGGCCATGAGCAAAAAAAAGGTTGAGAAACACGTCTAGATGATGCTGTGAGGACGGGACTGGACTTGATGACCTCTCGTGGTCCCTTCCATAGAATCCCAGGGCTAGAAGAGACCTCAGGAGTCATCGAGTCCAGCCCCCTGCCCAAGGCAGGACCAACCCAACTCAATCAACCCAGCCAGGGCTTTGTCAAGCCGGGACTTAAAAACCCCTAGGGATGGAGATTCCACCACCTCCCTAGGGAACCCAGCCCAGCGCTTCTCCACCCTCCTAGGAAAGTCGTTTTTCCTAAGTTTTAGTGGCCTTATAATTTCACAAGTCATCAAAGCATCTTCGATGTGTTTCTCTAGTGGACTGTTCCTTCCTAGCAGCACTGGGCTTCTTGTAGGGCATCTTAAGGGGCTGGCTCTATGGAGAGCGCCCCATGGATGTCCCTTCTGGCTGGGCAGCACTCCACAGAAGTCAGCTGCACTCCATGCAAGGTTAGGGGCCAACCAACATGGTATCCGGATCAACAGCAGAGCTGGGGGGTAGAGCTGACTTATTGGTAGGAGCGGCTTTACCATCGCTTCTGACTTAGTCACATGTTCATCTAAAGGCCACCGGAGTCTTCCTCTCCCCCCACCTGCCTTTTTGGCTCTGCTATTGACCCAAAATGAGCATGGCTCCAAAATGCCTTGTCTGCGACGAGCTTTCTGATTGGAACCGTTCAGAGAAATTTTCAGCCAAAAATGCCGAGTTGTTGAAATGGTTTGCGCACCGGGTAGGTGGGGGGGCGAACCTCTGGAGTGCATAAAAAAAAAACCCCTCACTGAAAAGCTGCAAAATGATCAGTGTTTCGTTTGGACAGCCTCTAAGCACTTTTTTTAAGGTGTTCTGGTTCCAAACCTCGTCAGTGTCAATTTCTAATTAGGTTTTAAAAACCAAAGCTTTGAGAAGAAACCAACGTGTGTGACCCAGCCTGAACGTTCAGGTTTTTTAGTTCACAAATATGCAGACGGCCGTATTCAGGATGGGGGGCGGGGAGGGCTTCAAACTCTCACAGATTTGCTGTCTCCCTATTTCCAGTCACAAGCGTCCTAGGAAACGGCTCCTTAGTGCCGTTTTGCATCCTGACGGGGAGGCGTGTGGCAATTAGATCTCCTAAGTTAGCAGTTGAATTACCAATGGAAGCTCCCTCTCTGTGATGCTTTTTAAGGCAAACCTATCAAAGGGAAAGGCTGGGGGTTTTGGATTCTCTCGCTGCCCTATTGAGGTGAGTTTAATTTTCTTGCCTGGTTGTGACAGAAAACTTACGGCGACGTTACAGACCGGCTCAAACTGAAGGAGCAACTGCACTGTAAAAACTTCACCTGGTACCTGCAAACCATCTATCCAGAGATCTTCATCCCAGACTTGACCCCCACCTTCTATGGCGCAGTAAGTGCGGGAGCGCGTCTGTGTTGTCCTGTTTCTTTTTGATCAACTCCCTTCCTTCTCTAGAAGTAAGCGGAGGGAGGCGCGCCAGTTCGTAGGGTGCAGGGGCTCCCTCTGAAATCAGGGCGCCACGGAACGGAGCAGCCCCCTGACAGGGCAGTCCCTGCCCCAAAGAGCTTACAATCTAAATGGCTAAGACAAAGGTTGAGGGTGAGAAATTCAGACACGGAAGCCCCGTGATTCAGAAGGGCGTGGGGCTCTTGGCCACGTGCTCCAGGGGGCGCCACGTCCTAGCGGTGGAGACATGGGGCGTGGTCCAGGCGGAGCTGAGGGCGGGCTGCCCCTAGCCCCGCCCCTTCCAGGAGCATGGACCCGCCCCCCTCCCAGGCTGGCAATTCTGCCTGTCCCCCTGCCCAGTGCTGGAAGTTCTCCTGAAAGATCGGCAGTAGAAATGACTTTGGGACTGCTGGTTCTGTGAGACACACGCTAGCTCCAGGTGTGCACCACGTGACCTGTGTCCGCGAGTGGGGAACTCACACCCCACATGCGTGGTGTGGCCATTATTGAAAACCTTCCCCTGATGCCTGGTCTTCCTGAGCCACTGTGTCCGACTTAGGAAAACTCTTCAGTCAGCTGAGCGCTCCTCCTCCTTGTCCCTCTCCCCCATCCCATTCTCGTTTGTCGAAGGCAGGGGTCTTCCAACTAGGGGGAGCACGCAGGGCTGGGCTGTGCAGTGTCAGGCTGCAGGGGGATCAGGTGAGCAGCGGGGGGGCTAAGGCAGCTCCCTGCCTGTCCTGGCACCGCAGACTGCGCTGCGCCCCAGAAGTGGCCCAGCTTCTAGGTGGAGAGTGCACAGGACTTCGCGCCCCGCCCTCAGCACTAGCTCCACACTCCCGCTGGCTGCAGTTCCCGTGGAACGGCCTCGAGGAAGTGTTCGTCTGCTCAAGAACGGCTCCGGCACGGGACGAGCTGGGACCTCCACATTCTCACGTGGCCCCGCGCCACTGCAGGGAGAGAGGGTTGGAGTTGGCCTCTCCCCCCCAGGACAGCCTGAATCCCTCAACCCCAGCCCCATCCCAAGGGCACTGATTGAAAAGAAGACGAATACGTTAGCTGAGTTAAGAACCGGAGCAATCGTCTGCTCAAGAACGGCTCCGGCACGGGACGAGCTGGGACCTCCACATTCTCACGTGGCCCCGCGCCACTGCAGGGAGAGAGGGTTGGAGTTGGCCTCTCCCCCCCAGGACAGCCTGAATCCCTCAACCCCAGCCCCATCCCAAGGGCACTGATTGAAAAGAAGACGAATACGTTAGCTGAGTTAAGAACCGGAGCAAGGCCAGCTCAGTCGTCCTGTTCGTGGTTCCCAGCCTGTGGTCTGTGGACCCCTGGTGGTCTACAGTGGTACTGCAGGGGTCAGCGGAAAGTTTAAAAGGGATTGGGCCCATCACGGTGGGCCCGATCCTTACTTTTTTCTCTTTGTTTTTGTTTTTTTCTTTTTTCTTTTTTCTTTTCTCTCTTTTTTTCCCCCCAGGATGGGGCAATCTGTGAAATTTTAATAGACTAAAAAGGGGTCTGAATGCTCGACAAGGTGGGGAACCACTGCTCTCATTCATAAATATGCCAAAACCACGTGAGGAATTATTTGCTGACTCCACACAGAATCCCAGCGGACCCCACCCAGCCCCACCCCCTCCCTGGATTGCATTCCTGAATACAGGTGCAACCAGAAGTCAGTCAGGCAGAAGTATTCATAGAATCATAGAATAATAGGACTGGAAGGGACCTCAAGAGGTCATCGAGTCCAGCCCCCCGCCCTCAAGGCAGGACCAAGCTCCGTCTACACCATCCCTGACAGATGTCTATCCAACCTGTTCTTAAATATCTCCAGAGAGGGAGATTGTGGACGGCTGGCTGTCCCTGCACGGGTTACCTGCCACCTGCTCTGGGCAGTTCTCCGTTGGTGGCGTTCTCGGCAGGATTCCCGCAGAAATGCCCCAAAATAACGGCCGTGCCTGGAGAGTTAGCGCCTGGCTAAAGGCCTCTTGAGGCCGTTCGGCTGTCGGACGCATCCTCGTTTGAATATGACTCGGTTGCTGCAATTATAGAATCATAGACGCTGAGGCCGGAAGAAACCATTATGTCGCCCTTGCCTGACTGCCTGCAAATGACAGGCTGTAAAACAGGAGCGGGGAACCTTTTTTGGGGGGGGGGCGCTGACCCACAGAAAAATCCGTCGGGGGCCACACACGTGTGAAACCCCCAAAAAACCCGTCACTGACGTGGCCCCGGATTGAGAAGGAGAAAGCTGCTCCACACATTCCCCTCCCGCCCCCGTGTTGGGGCAGCGGCGGGGCTGGCGTACCAGCTGCGGGCTCCCAAATTCTGGGAGGAGCCCTGAGGGCCACATCCGGCCCCTGAGCCTGAGGTTCCTCACCCCTGCCATAAAACCTGATCCACCTACTCCTGCAACAGACCCGTAACCGCTGGCTGAGTTACTGACGGCCTGGAATCACGATTTAAAGACTTCAGGTCCCAGAGACTCTAGTTCAAACCAGGAAATGACGCAGGCCCCGCATTGCAAATGAAAAAGGAGGGAAAACAAGGTCTGAGCCAAATTGACCTGGCCGGGGGGTGGGTGTGAAATTCCTTCCTGACCCCAACCAGCGATCAGTGAGACTTCGAGCATGTGGGAGAAACCCATCAGCCAGTCCACCGGGCGCAGGGGGGGGGAGGGGTTAAGAATTTATTGCAATAACTCTGAGCCCTCCCCAGCTGGTATGTAGTCCAGTGGCTTTGACAATTTCAGCCCGAATACCCTAGGACTGAAACGAACCTTCGTTGAAAGAACAGAAATGGGTCAGCGCTCAGGCCCACAGACACAATCACAACTAGTTTGTAAAAAATAACCCGCCAGCCGGCGTTCCCTGTAAGCCGGGCGCTTGGGTGGCCGCCCAGGAGAGATTCAAGCGGCACCCAGCTCATTAGCGGCGTGCCCATAGCTGATTGCAGCCACCAGCATGTTTCTATTGCTGGTGCACATCTGCACATGCCTTGGCGCATGGAACAAAATTTATTCCACACACAAATGGAAACACTTAGAGGGAACATTGCTGCCAGCGACTAGGGATCCGGACTGGCTCTAGTAGGCTTTGCTGGGCTGTGTTTTCCGTGGGCGTGTGGCCATGCACCTAGGATTGGGTGGGGTCTGAGACCGAGCCCCTACGAAAGCCGCTCAGACCCGTGCCGCATGTTTTGTTCTTTGCTTTCAGATTAAGAACGAAGGGTCCAAGAACTGCTTGGATGTCGGGGAGAATAATCATGGAGGGAAGCCGCTGATCATGTACCCGTGCCACGGGATGGGAGGCAATCAGGTAGGCGACTGGTGTGAATGTGTCCCGGCGGCTCTCACCCCATCCCACCCTCCCGGAGCTGGGGAAAGGGTCCGGAGCAATGTTCCCTGTAAGTTGGGGGTGTGGGCAGCCGCCCAGGCAAGATTCAGTTGCCACTCGGCTGATTAGCAGCACACCCCCAGCCTCCTGCAGCATGTGTTTCTATTGGTGGTGCACATCTGCACATGCCTGGGTGCACCAAATAAAATTTATTCTGCACATGGATGGAAAACCTGGAGGGGAACATTGGTCCGGTGCGCCAGGGCTTACCCCACTCCTCCTGGGCGAGGCAGCTGGGAAGCAAGCCTGGGGCTTGCTCCCCCTGTCTCCTATCTTGCCCACCCATCTGAAATCGGGGTTCACTTAAGTGCTCCAGACTTGTGCGACCCAGCAGCGGGGTGTGCGTGCTGATCCCCGGGCACACACGTGAATTCCCTTGGCGCCTTGAGGGATTCTGGGGCTGCCTTCATCAGTGGGGCTGGCAGGCTGCTCTCTGGCAGCATGGGTGGCGGCTTGCTCCCCCTGTCTCCTATCTTGCCCACCCATCTGAAATCGGGGTTCACTTAAGTGCTCCAGACTTGTGCGACCCAGCAGCGGGGTGTGCGTGCTGATCCCCGGGCACACACGTGAATTCCCTTGGCGCCTTGAGGGATTCTGGGGCTGCCTTCATCAGTGGGGCTGGCAGGCTGCTCTCTGGCAGCATGGGTGGCCCTTCGGGGTGGGGGTCAGCAGCCCCTAATCGCCGCGTCTGCTCTTTGGCTCTCAGTACTTCGAGTACACGTC